CTTGTTATCATTTTTCGGTTTTTACACTTAAACCGGGTCCGTTCCCTAGACCGATAACAACAAAAGCCCGTTCCCTAAGCTTTCAAACCCCGCTCTAGGTTTGGGACAAGTCACTAGCCTCCACGAAACTAGCAAACATTGCCTCTTGACTAAATGATGCATATGCAATCAACAACAAAATGCACTTAAGACCGATCACATGTCTTAATCCCATGCATTCACATAATTCCTCCCTTCAAGAATTAAACAAGATTGCACATACAACATATCATATAATCAAGTATTCATACTTTTCATCAACATATTTGTCCAACAATGCACGTATATCTTACAATATGCTCTCATGCATTAATTCACAATAATCGGATACAACAAATATGCATTCATAATTCAACCTCATTACCTTTTCAAACAATGCACACATATTCACAATATATTCTCATGCATTCACAATATCGCATACAATCAATATGCATTTACACTTCAATATCATTACCACATTTATCAAGCAATGCACACATATTCACAATATGTTCTCATGCATTCTTCACATACAAACAATATGCATATATTTGTCAAAAGACTATATTTCATAATCGATTCCACCATCTAGGATTCACGCCATACGGCTACCCACAGCATATCATATCACAACATGCACAAGCTATACGTTATATAACAAAAGTATTCTGCACAATAACACATCAATCACACACATTCGCGACGGTAAAAATCAACACAACAATATGTTTTCAATTTTCTGCTATAATTGAACTAGGTACAGGCCTCAAAGCCATTTTTTCTAGAAAGATAATCTCGTTAACTTACCAACGCTTTGAACGGGGGTCAAAACCGACTTACGGTTCAAGAGTTATGAATTTTTGAAGTTTTCCGAAAAACCAGAATTTTGCCTAAACACGGCTACGGGATTTTGCTTTTTCGCCCGAAAATCCGACCGATTCAATTCTTTTTTTCGAAACAAACACATACTCATACTCACCTAACATATAGCAGTAAATTAGAACCATTAAACACGATTTCTACGACGTCCGATTTTCACTCAAATCTCAAACCCTCAATTATCCAAAAATGTCAAAACTCACAAACTCAACCAAATTCAATCAAACGAAATCCAATAATCATGGCTAAACATTACCCGACTAAACTATGCAATTTATTTTGAATTCTAACCGTTCAAAACTCGATTCTACCGATTAAACCATTTATGCCCTAGAAATAGAAAATAGAGAAAAACACCCAACAAATCCAACACAACTCATACATAATCATACACATTGATCAAATAATAATGTTTCTCACCCTTACCTTGATTGGATTGAAGCTTGAAGTTGATTCTTGATGATTTCTCCAAGTTTCCCTCTTCTTTTCTCTTTTCTCCTCTTTCTCTATTCTTTCTCTCATTTTCTTTCTTTCTTTCTCTTATGTTTCTATCTCTTTTCTTTTCTCTCCAATTTTCCTTATATATCCTTCTATTTTCTTTCCATCATAATTCTTCTTTAAAAAATATCTATCAATTCTTTTCTCACAAAATATCTCATTTTATCATTAATTAGAGAATATCTAATAAATCCACATTATTCTACCAAGTAGAATAAATTAATTAAATTCATTAACTCATTTAAATAAATCCAATAATTTATTTAAATCACATAAATCACATAAACCAATTAATTAGCACAATTAATCACTTATTGAAAAATTGGGCTGTTACAGAAGCCGCAACCATAGTGTTAGAACCAACACTAGTTGTTTGTGACACAACTGTACTTCCTCCTAATGATTGCTCCTTGTTTGGACTGGTATTTTGTGGATCTACCATTTTCTTACCACTACGCAATTGCATCTACTTAACACAACAGGTCCCACCGGGTGTGCCAATTTGTTCAAGCAGATTTCTGACGAACAATCTCTAGCCTCTTATTGAAGGTTACTTGTAGGATCAGCTACAAAATCTTAGACTTAGTGTTAAGTATGAAATGGTTATTTAAGTGTTTGGATTTAAAATGGTAGACATTCGTGCAACTAAGATAAAAATGAGAAAAATAAGACAAAAAGCTGGAAAGGAAAGTGAATTGAAAAAGAAACTTATAAAGTAAATTGTTTGAATACAAGTTGGACGCATGTATACATCTGTGTAGAAATAACTCGTTTCTCTTAGACGCTGGTACTTTGAGTGTTTTGTTTGCAATGTTACAAAATGCGACATCTTGAACTAAAATTATATTCTACTTAAATAGGCATAAAAAATAGTTGTTGCTTTGCTGTCGACTATTCACAGCTTGCCACACGTCCATCCTTGTACACCCACTTTGTTTGTAACTTCCCCACGTGAACTTGGCTTCAAATTCAATTTATTTGTATGGTTGTCCTTCAAACTTGCTTCGACTGGACCCATATGTCCCTTTTCTATCTTACCCGCCGAACCTTTTTGGCGACGTCGACCTATCTCTACGGTTCTTTGTTTGTGAATCAAAGTTTCTTCCTTTGATTCACTTCTTTTTCCCCTAGTCGAAATTTGCTAGCTAATAGTAATATAAGTTACCGAATTTTTCATCCGATATACATGCACCGTATATTTAAAAAAAAAATTGGTATTTCTTTATACAATCATCAACAAGCGATACTATTTCTTATTAGAAATTTTTGATATTTTTTCAACATAAACATAAAAAATCTTATATATATATATATATATATATATATATATATATATATATATATATATATATATATATATATATATATATATATATATATATATATATATATATATATATATATATATATATATATATATATATATATATATATATATATATATATTCTTTTTTTTTGCAATATTCAATATTTTTACATGATTAACTTTTAAAAAATCAAAATTATTAAACAAGTATATTACGGTAAAAGCATTGCTGATATGGAGTGCCAAAAATTTTTGGATTATAAAAACATATCTTATTTTAGTAATTTATTTATTTATACCTACTTTTTATTTTACTTTTATCAATATCCGATTTTTTGAATTGGTTAATTTAATTCGGAATGAGTTATAAAATCAAATGATTTAACCCTCCTCCAATTATAGTCGCATGTGACTATTTATTTATATCTATTTTTAATTGGATTACTCGAGTGTTCAGCAAGACTATTTTTCTTTTCACAAAGTATTTTTAAATTTGAAATAACATAAACATATGACTTATAAACAAACTTTGTTTTCGTTATTTTTTAAAAATTTAAAAAAAAATTATATTAACAGTGTAATTTTATATTATTGATTAATCACAATTATGTATTAAAATAAAATATATTTTTATTTTAAAAATACTGATATTATATATATATATATATATATATATATATATATATATATATATATATATATATATATATATATATATATATATATATATATATATATATATATATATATATATATATATATATATATATATATATATATATATATATATATATATATATATATATATATATATATATATATATATATATATATATATATATATATATATATATATAACAGTATACAGTGCACTATCTTTAAATTAAGGTCATAAATTTAATAGTATCAAAATACAGAATTTTTTTAATATAATATGTTTAAAATAAATAATTAATTCAAAAAAATGACGAAATTGACTGGTTTAGACGAGGATTTCTCATATGAAATGACTACTCAAGTCTTCCAAACCTGATTCACCATTTTCTATGGCGCATGAGTTCAATTGGGTGCTCTAAAACCCTACAATAAGTCGCCATATGAGATGACACATCTCATGTAGGTTTTTTTTTTATTTTTTTATTTTTAACTATTGATATTTGTTTAAAAAATCTTATAAAAAATATTTGTTATATTTTTTTATAGTTGATTCGATGTACCAATACATAGTTTCTAAACCGATTCGATGAACCAACTCGAACAACCATACCATCCACACCACACCCAATCTCTCCGACAAAACTACGAAAACATGGGCATTTAAGTTAATTACGTAAGCGTCGTTGGTAGCGAACAACCCGACTTTTGGGATCAAATGTTTCAAAATTTATCTGATACGTAGGAGCCATCTCAACAAATACTTTTTCCACATGTAAATATACAAAGACTAGATACACTTCAACAACCTCGTGATAGAACTCGACGCTGCGCGCATCCTCCTCAACTTGGTACCGATAGTCGTTTAGATAGAGCCGGCCATTAAATTTTTTTTTTTATCTGTTGTAATTTATGTTATAGTATAAATTATTATAATTTATTATTTCTTGTATTTATATTTTTTTTTAAATTATTAAAAATAACAAATTTTATTATTTTTTAATTAAATGTGACCAAAATTAAATATTAAATATAAAATATTAATTAAAGATGATAAAATATAACAAATTAAAAAAAAATAAAAAAATATTAAAATTAAAATTTTCAAAATATCAAAAAATATAAAAAAAATTGAGATGCGTCATCTCATATGGTGACTTATTGTAGAGTTTTAGAGCATTCAATTGAATCTACACGCTATATGAAATGACAAATTAAATCTGAAAGACTAAAGTGGTTATTTCATTCGACAAATTTTCATACAAACCCAACCACTTTCGTCATTTTTTAAATTAATTATTTATTTAAAAATTATTTTGAAAATTCTCAAATACGAGTAGCAATGGAAAAGAAAATCTAATCTAACAATTTTGTTACCAACTAAGCCTCCTTGTTTGACTTGTCAAACAAAAAACTCTTTTTAATAAATAAAAACCCTTAAAAAATCATATTTATATAAAAAACAAATAATAATAAATAAAAACGCGTAAAGCAATACTATGTGCCTCTCTTTGTTCAACTTCACCAAACTGCATCGCTTCTCCTCAAACCTTCTCTTCTTCTCCGTCAACAAAATCCCAATTCTACCCCTACCATCTTCTCCAATTTACCATCCCACCCAACGCAATCCACCTCCACAACCATGTACAGCAATGTAATCATCAACTGTTCCAACTGCCACACGCCTCTCCAGGTCCCACCTGGCGCCGGATCAATCTGCTGCGCACTCTGCCAAGCTGTCACTCTCGTTGCCGACCCACGCGCCATCCCTCCTCAACCTTTCTCGTCTCCTCACGCGCCTCCTCCCCCTTCCCTTTACAGCCAAGCGCCGCCTGGTCCTCCGCCGAACCCTCACGGTCGTAAGAAAGCCGTGATCGTCGGAATCTCGTATAAATTCTCGCGTCATGAACTTAAGGGATGCATCAATGACGCTAAGTGCATGCGTTACCTTCTCATCAATAAGTATAGTTTTCCCGAGTCTTCTATCATTATGCTCACCGGTAAGTTCCTTCCCGATCGAATTTGATCGATGCCTTATCGAGAAAGTAACCGTTCTATTTGACTCTGAGATGTAGGAATTTTCTTATTTTTCTGGTTAGGTTAGTTTAAATTAATTGTGTGTTTGGGTGTGAAATATCCTAGATTCTGGAAAATTGATTAATTTGGTTTCAATTGAGTTTGGAATCAAGGTTGAACATTAAAGTGATTGTGGATAGTGTTTATTCGACTAAATACTCAATTTTGTAGCTGAAATTATAAGATTGTATCAGTAATCTCCACATTATCATTATATCAAAATGATCCATGTAATTTCCTTACATCATGTACTCAGTATCAACCTCTGTAGCACGGACACCTTAGGCTTGTCTGTGTCAGTGTCGGCGTCCAAAACCAACACCGACACTTGTGATTACGTTTAGTTTATTCATCTTTTTCAAATTATTAACGGTATCGACTTGTCAATGGTGTCGTGTTTCTGGTGTCCTTAGGTTTCAATTGCATCCCGACAGAGGAATGAGCATCATTAAAAAATTTTCCAATTTCAAAGATTATTTTGAAATATTATTTATTAATAATGTGTGAACAAGGTTGATATGGACATACAATTTCCTAGATCAAATTTAGTATTTGCTCTTATTTATTTGTTCTGTAAAAAAAGTGACTCATTTTGTTTGAGTAAAACCCAATTTAGTTCTAAAGAAAAATTTGGAACTTCATTTTGCTTCTTAAAAAAGTTCACAAATAGACCCATCAAAATTACTAACTCAAGACATATTAATTCCAACAAAAATTTAAACACACAAAGCAGTTCATGGTAGAAGGATTAATGAGTCCTGATTTGTAATTCTGAGAAATTATTTGTGGTCTTTATTATGCGGGTTTAAACTAGATTCCCCGTTTTCTTAAGGGACTAAAATGAACATTTACTCATTTAGTTTTGTAACATGTGGATTTGATGGCAATTTGTTCATTCTCTTTTGAATGTCTAAATGCAGAAGAAGAAGATCCCCGTGGTCCCAAATTTCCTTCCAAGAACAACATCAGGATGGCAATGTTTTGGCTTACACAAGGATGTCAACCTGGAGATTCTCTGGTTTTTCATTATTCTGGTCATGGATCGCAGCAAAGGAACTATAATGGTGAAGAAGCTGATGGTTTTGATGAAACTATTTGCCCTTTGGATTTTGAAACACAGGGTATGATAGTAGATGACGAGATCAATGCAACGCTCGTAAGGCCTCTTCCTCACGGGGTTAGGCTGCATGCACTAATTGATGCCTGCCATAGTGGCACAGTTATGGATTTGCCATTTCTTTGCAGAATGAACAGGTTACCTTCTTAAAGATAGTTTATAGTTTCTAATTACATGGCTTATCTGTTATGATTTTGTTTTTGTTGACTTTAGTTAGCATCATGATGTTTCATTAACAATTCTTAACGATGCATTAATGGTTTATCGAAAGGAAAACAAAATCTTTCACAGAAAAATTAAGTGATTTAAGTTTTCTATAATTGTGCCCACGATTGATCAATAACCAAACTGTTATCTCATGATAACGTTTTTATTTATCAGTACGCCTTTTCCTAATACTTACGTTACGACACATTGATAGTCAAGGTCGAGATACTGTTGGCCAACAAATTAACGTAACTTGTGAAGTACAACAATTATTGGGAAGATGAATGCTAGCAACACACTCTCTAACATACATTTTTAACACATTCTATGATCGGTTCAAATTCACACGGGTTCATATAAATTTGTTGGGATCCATGTGAATTTTAACCGATCAAAGACAGTGTGTTAGAGAGTGTGTTGCAGCATTATTCTTATTAGGAAATAATTGAATTAGAGCTGTAGCGATGTGTGCTGCAGATGGTCTAAAGAGAGGAATGGAAGTTATTGACACGAGAGCCTTATTTAATGAAGGAAGGGCTCTGGTATATAGAGAGGAGAGGGCCTCACCGTTTAACAAGTAATCATAGAAACAATGGAACCTACCATTTCTTTGTCTATTTCTATTTAATTTACTAAAGAAAATATAGTGAAGTAGATGAGTGCAGCGTAAGAGACAAAAGTATGCTACCCCTACATCCTAATAGTGGATTAATTCTGTTAGAACATAACCTTAACAGTGTTATTAAAGCTAAGCTATAACCTAACACCATTAAGAAAGCTGATTATAAAGCTAAATACAAAGCAGTTGGGCATGATTGTGCATATCTTGAAAGCACAATGCTACCAATTTTGGATCCTTCGGTGATCTCGATCTTACTCTAGAATGCTATCTGTTGAGATCACCGGGATCACCATTCACCATGCTTTCATACAAGATTGGTGAAATTGCATGATCCCAGTGTGCCTAACCAAAAGTGGATTATCCAGAGACCCATATGTTGAAACATGAAAACCCATTTTTCTGTTGATCCTATATGATGTTTTATGACCTTTAATCCTATTGCAAGCATTTCTCCCCTAGATAAACAGTTTATCTTAATTCATCTTGCGTGGTAGTGTTTTACCGGTTGTCATATTTTAATTATTAGTTTTGTGTAGTGTTTGTAGTGATTTGAAGGTTCTTCTCTCCTTATTATTAATGCTATTTTTTGTGTGGATAGGGTCTTACGATCAGTTACAAATTACAATCTCATGATTTACATTTTCATTCTCCTTCCTTATCCTAGGTAGAATCTTGATTATGACTACCTTGGTGCATGTAATCTGACTGTGAGAAAACACCAGAGAAGAAAGGTGTTTAAATTGCATATATTTGACCACTATAGAGTATATATGATGATGGATATCAATTGACGTTTTAGCTCATAGATGTTTGACAAATGAGCTGGAACAATGGCATGCACCAAGGGTTGATCATGTGTATACCTTTTCAATTTGCACATCCCAAAGCTAGTCCTTCAAACGTGGATGATGCAATCCTAGTTGAGTCTGTTGGATTATATTCTAAAGTCAAGAGAAGACACGTTTAAGATTTTATACCAATTGTGTGTATTGAGCTATGTGACTAGGGGATATGCTTATTTACTGTTCCCATTTATTTTGTTTTATCTGCATTTGTTCACTCAAAATAGAGATTATGATTGTTGTAGACTTGGGATGAAAAAGAATTTATAAACATTTTGCACTGTCTTGCTTCTTATTACTACATCCGTCCCAAATTATAAGACGTTTTGGACATTTCACACGAATTAAGAAACTTAATTATTACTTTATGGAAAGACAAATTATGTATGACTTTACAGTATTGCCCCTCATAATTACACAGGAGAGAGAAATTAAAAGAGTTGAAAGAGGTGACTTATAATTTTGGACAAATTTTTTTGGCAAAGTGACTTATAATTTGGGACAGAGGGAGTATTATTTTTTATTCTATGTATCTAATAAATAGTGTTTTCTTCATTTGACTTGTGATATATGGCATATTCTTTATTTACACAATATATATAGTTTCCTTGATGGCTTGCATTTACTTTGTTTCTTTCTTCTAACAGCCATGGACAATATGTATGGGAGGACCATCGCCCTAGGTCAGGTGTATGGAAGGGATCAAGTGGTGGAGAAGTTATAAGTTTTAGTGGATGCGATGATCATCAAACTTCTGCAGATACATCTGTAAGTTTCAGAAAATTCAAATCATGTTCTGCCTTAGTATCTTAGTAACTGATAGAATCAATTCAGTATCTAAAAGAGAGATTCAGAAACAATACAAGAAAACTGATAAAATTACTGATTTGATTAAAGAAATAGGCTAGAGTTCAAATGGGATCTAGCAAAATCAGTACAAGGAAATTGCAGAATGCAGTAAAAAAAAAGAAAGATGATAGAGGCACTTTGAGAGGCCTTTTCTCTCCTAGGGGTCAGATCCAATGGAATATTTGCGTACCTCACAAATGATTGGGACCCAATCATTTATGGAATTATTCCTAGGTCCTATTACCATACAGCTGCTGCCAGCTGTCTCAACCCATGTGCTACTGCTAACAGAATTTGTCCTATTCTCTCTCTTTCTCTTTCTTACGTTTCCTCACATATTGCCTCCCATATCTACCAATTCCCCTCCCTTCAAAAACTTCCTTGACCTTAAGGAAGAAAACTGGAAATTCCTCTTTTAACCTTTCAGCCAACTCCCAAGAATTCTCAAATTCTGGAAGGTCTTTCCATTTCACCAAGACCTCCCAATCCCCTTGATCATTCCTCCTGTAATCCATTCCTTTCTCAGGCACAGGTTCTAAATACCAATCCTCATTCATACAATCTGGCAGAGGTTGAGGTTCTGCAGAGGCACTAATAGCTTTTTTCAGCAAGGAAACATGGAATGCCGGATGTACTCTAGTATCATCAGGCAGCTTAAGCTGATAAGCCACCTCTCCCACCCTTTTAACTATTTCATAAGGTCCATAAAATCTAGGGCTCAACTTCTGGTTCAGCCTTTTAGCTAAACTCTTCATTTTGCAAGGCTGGATTTTTAAGAAAACCTTATCTCCTACTTCATAAACCACCTCCCTCCTGTGCTTGTTTGTTTGATTTCTCATCATGTCCTGTGCTTTGAGTAACTGCTCCTGCAGTTCCTTGATCATCAAGTTTCTTTCCGTTGTCAATTTATTGATTTCTTCAACTGCAGATCCTGGGGTGTCTCCTCTAATTAACACTGGAGATGCTCTTCCATATAGTGCCTCAAATGGAGTGGTCTTTAGTGAGGCATGGTAGTTGGTGTTATACCAATATTATGCCCATGCTAACCACTTAGGCCATTGCTTAGGTTTGAGCCCTGTAACACACCTGAGATATGTCTCCAAGCACCTGTTAACTACCTCTGTTTGGCCATCAGATTGAGGATGGTAGGCACTGCTATATTTCAACTTAGTCCCTGCCAGCTTAAATAGCTCAATCCAGAAATGGCTAAGAAACGTTTTGTCTCTGTCAGAAACTATGGAACTAGGGAATCCATGCAATCTAACCACTTCTTGAAGGAAAACTTCAGCAACACTCTTGGCTGTATAAGGATGGTTAATTGGAAAAAAATGAGCATATTTAGAAAGTCTATCTACCACCACCATAACAGTGTCTACTCCTTGCACTTTAGGTAAACCCCCTATGAAATCCATAGAAATATCACTCCATACTTGTGTGGGAATAGGTAAAGGCTGTAGTAATCCTCCAGGTGTCAATGTTTGATACTTATTCCTTTGACACACTTCACACGCCTGCACATACTCTTGAATTCTCTTTCTCATACCCGCCCAATATACCACACTACTAATCCTTTTGTAAGTCCTGAGATAACCAAAATGCCCTCCTACTGCTATATCATGAAATTCATTCAGAATCCAACTAATTTGAGGGGATCCTTTAGGCACCACTATTCTTCCTTCATAATACAACCTTCCTCCTTTAAGTTGAAACCCCTTCTGACTAAGAGGATCTGCTAATAAGGCTTGCACTATCCCCTTCAGCTTCTCATCCCGTTGTACCTCCTCTTCTAATCCATTCCAAGCTTCACTTTGGACAGTAGTTATGTGAGAATACTGCATCTGCCTGAAAAGGGAATCTGCTGCACTATTTTCCTTTCTAGGCTTATACTTAACCTCAAAATCATATCCTATCAATTTAGATAGCCACTTCTGCTGGTCTTCCCCCATCACCCTCTGCTCTGTTATAAACTTTATGCTTTTCTGGTCTGTATGCACCTTGAAATGCTTGCCTAATAAATAAGGTCTCCATTTCTGAATAGCTATGACCATTGCCATGAGCTCTCTTTCATAAATTGACTTTTGTTGGGCTTTAGCTGCTAGAGTTTGACTCATATATGACACAGGTCTGCCCTCCTGCATTAACACTGCTCCAATGCCTTCGCTAGAAGCATCAGTCTCCACTACAAACTCTTTTTCAAAATCTGGCATAATCAAAACAGGGAGGGTGGTCATGGCTATCTTCAGTTCATCAAAAGCCACTTGTGCCTCTGTACTCCACAGGAAACTGTCTTTCTTCAACAACTGAGTAAAGGGCCAGGCTATTTTTCCATAATTCCTTACAAACATCCTATAGTAGCCCGTTAGACCTAAGAAGCCTCTTAATCCTTTTATATTTTTTGGAACAGGCCACTTAATCATATCTTCTATCTTTCTGGGGTCTGCTGCTACTCCTTTGGCAGATATTAAATGCCCTAGATACTCCACCTCTTCTTGACCAAAAGAACATTTCTTCTTGTTAGCAAATAGTTGGTTATCCTTCAACACTTGCAATATTACAGTTAAATGCTCTCTGTGTGCTTCCTTACTCCTACTATATATGAGGATGTCATCAAAAAAAACCAAGCAAAATTTCCTTAAGAATGGCCTGAGAACTTCATTCAGGAGGGCTTGGAAAGTGGAGGGAGCATTTGTCAAGCCAAAAGGCATGACAAGATACTCATAGTGCCCCTCATGTGTTCTGAATGCTGTCTTGGCTATGTCTTCATCCTTTATCCTAATCTGGTGATAACCAGATTTCAAATCCAGTTTGGAAAAGATGACTGCTCCACCCAATTCATCTAATAATTCCTCAATGATGGGAATGGGGAATTTATTAGGTATGGTCACCTTGTTTAGAGCTCTGTAATCTGTGCAAAATCTCCACCCTCCATCTTTTTTCTTTACTAACAGTACTGGGCTTGAAAAAGGACTGGTACTGTGCCTTATGATACCAGCCTGGAGCATTTCTCTTACAATTTTTTCTATTTCATTTTTTTGATAGAAAGGGTACCTATAAGGCCTCAAGTTTGGAATGGCAGCATTAGGTTTAAGCAAAATAGCATGATCATGTTCTCTCCTGGGTGGTAGACCTTTAGGTAAATGAAACACTTCCTCAAATTTCCCCAAAGTCTCATCCCACTCTGTTAACTCAGCATACCTTTCTGCTGCAACCATTTGCACAATTTGCACATAGAATTCCATCCCCTCATCCTTCAAAGCTCTCATCATTCCTTTCATAGAAACTTGTTGATTGCTTAATGTAGGATCTCCTTGAATACTATACTTCTGTCCACCCCACTCCCACATAAGGCATAATTTTCCAAAGTTAGCCTCTATATTTCCCAAACTAGCTAACCAGTCCATTCCTAGCACCATATCAGTCCCTCCTAACTCCATCAAAAAGAAATTCTGGCTGAATTCCACTCCTTGCAACCAGAACTTCAATTTTTCACACACCCCCTGATATTTCATCTTCTCTCCGTTCCCCACCTCAATTACGTATGGTGGTGTTTCCACCAACTGTAATCCCATCATTTCCACTAGCCTAGCATCAATGAAATTGCTAGTTGCCCCGGAATCAATTAGTGTCAACAGTTCCCTGACTGTAGCCTAGACCTTGAACGATTTATTAGAAGTTAGTCCCAATTGACTCTGCAGGGAGAGTTGCAAAGTCTTGCATTCCTCCACTTCGTCCACCCAGTCTTCTGTTTGCACCCCTTTTCCTCCTCTTTCCTCTTCCTCCTCACTGCTATTCTCGCATAATTTAAAACTCATATGCTTAAATTTGCATATGTGCTCCCTGTTCCATTTATCCCCACATTTGAAACACAACCCTCTCTTACTCCTTTCTTCTAATTTTGCAGGATTTAATCTCCTCCCTCTAAACTTCTCACTACCTCCTCCATTACCTTTCTCTCCCTCCTTCCTAGATCCTCGTATATCTGCAGGGTCCCTGATCTTAAAAGACCCTCCTCTATCTTTCCATGAACTACACTTCTTGTGGACCACCTCATTTTTTTCTTCAATTAACAGGGCCCTATCCATCAAATCTGCTAAACTTTGACTCTCATGGAGTTTTAGTTCGGCTTGAATCTCCCTCCTCTTTTAGTCCATTCATGAAAATGGAGTCCAACATAATCCTTTCTTCCCTTCTCAACGGAGCTACAAGCATTTCGAATTTCTCCATATACTCCACCACCGAGCCTTTTTACCTTAAACTCAACAAAGGCCCCATTGGGTTATGCAGTGACCCGGTTGAAACCTCCTCATCACAGCTACCTTAAACTCCTCCCATGTCCTCAGTGGGGCTCCTCAGTGGGGCTTGCTCCTCCCACCACTGGTACCAATTCAAAGCCTTGTCTTCCATAGCTAACACTGCCGCATCTAATTTGTCGCGCATCCTTACACCATTCAAACGGAAGTACCTCTCGACCCGCACGAGCCAACCATACGCGTCCTCTCCCTTGAAAATGAGAATTTCCAGCTTCCTTCTGCTTCTCATGGTCCGCTCTCCTTCTCCACCCCAGTGACGGCGATTTCTGGGTCGAGTTTCGTGCGAACGGTTGCTTCTTATGCTCCCATCATCTTCGTCATCGTCGGATCCTCTGAGGTGACCCGGACGCTCCTGAATGAGCTGGCGAATCTGCTCCACCGTCACTTGCGGTCTGGACTGTTGCTCCGTTACGATCTGGCGTATCTGTTCGATCGTCCCTTCGAACTGATTCATCCTCTGTTCCATCGTTTCCACGCGATTCTCCATGATACCACGCGTAACAACCATCCAGTGAGTAAACGAAACCAAGGCTCTAGATACCAAATTGATAGAATCAATTCAGTATCTAAAAGAGAGATTCAGAAACAATACAAGAAAACTGATAAAATTACTGATTTGATTAAAGAAATAGGCTAGAGTTCAAATGGGATCTAGCAAAATCAGGACAAGGAAATTGCAGAATGCAGTAAAAAAAGAAAGATGATAGAGGCACTTTGAGAGGCCTTTTCTCTCCTAGGGGTCAGATCCAATGGAATATTTGCGTACCTCACAAATGATTGGGACCCAATCATTTATGGAATTATTCCTAGGTCCTATTACCATACAGCTGCTGCCAGCTGTCTCAACCCATGTGCTACTGCTAACAGAATTGTCCTATTCTCTCTCTTTCTCTTTCTTACGTTTCCTCACATATTGCCTCCCATATCTACCAGTAACCCGCTAGTAGGTTAGGATGTGATATCATGTATAAAATAATATATTTAAAAGCTTTGCAAAAGGCTAAACACAGAAATAGCTAGCAATGCAAATACCGGTAGGTAGCACAAACATGTATTAATTTTCCAAAACCACTACCCTGTATGTGGAGGCAATGGCATACACAAATTCAAAGGCATATGAGTGCATAATTTAGAAACTTTATTCATCCCAAGTCTTTAACAATATATGCTTGATACGATGGAGTTCTTCCCAATATTTGGTTAGCATGTGGTATTTGGGTTTCAGTGGATCCCACATTCCCATACATAAAAATACAAAAGATAGCACATGCATCAGCTGTGCATGCTTGCAAAACTATGCAGTTGAGATACATTAGTATTTGGGTCTCATTGGATTCCACATTCCCATAAATACAAATACAAATATAGCACATGCATGAGCTGCATACTTGCCAACACTATGCAGTAGAGATACATTGGTAATTTGGGTCTCACTGGATTCCAGATTCCCATAAATACAAATACAAATACAAATATAGCACATGCATGAGCTGCATACTTGCCTTGAGATACATTAGTATTTGAGTCTCACTGGATTCCACATTCCCATAATTCAAATGCAAATATAGCACATGCATGAGCTGCATACATGCCAACACCATGCAGTAGAGATACATTGGTATTTGCCTATCAGCTGCATATTCTTGAGGGTTAGTTGCTGGAACTACACTCAAGCTTTTTGCAAACTCTTATGTCTTCCCACCTTAACCCAATAGGATATATAGAGGGTGCATAGGCCTTGGTCATTGAAGGAGATGATGAATTTCACTATATGGATATGTTTGGCCTATAAGATTTTTGGCACAATTGAGTTATTACGATCTTTTAGACATGCCTTTTTGCCTTGATAAATGCACCAGCAAATATAAATTTATTAGACTTTATCATGTTATGTCCGAATGCAAAATCTTTTACACCAATTGGCAAAAGAGGGAATACATACCCTGCTTCTCTGTAATAATGGGAGTTAGAGTCATATAAGTCAACTGCATGGTGTTGGGCTTGTTGGCAGATATGCAGCCGACGCATGTGCTATATTCTGTATAGCAAAGTGGGATCAATTGAGACATAAACATGCTAACCAAATATTTGGAATTCCTCCATAGTATAAAACATACATCGTGAATGACTTAAGGATGAGACAAATTTCTAAATTATTCATATTCATTTAGGAAATCCATACTTGCCTTCACTACCTTTATTTGTGCTGATATTTATCTGTGTTAATCCTTTTGCTTAAGTATCTTATCTTTACCTATTAAAAACATGTCTGACAATATAGTCACTCACTGTAAACAGGCACTATCCAAAATTACATCAACTGGAGCCATGACGTTTTGCTTCATCCAAGCAATAGAACGCTCTGGTCCAGGTGCCACATATGGCACCATTCTTACTGCAATGCGCTCTGCCATTAAAAATGCTGGCGGTGGTGGTGGTAGTGGGGGCGGCGATGTGGTAACATCTCTTCTTTCCATGCTTTTGACTGGAGGTAGTCTTACTGCTGGTGGACTGAGACAGGTAAATATACAGTTGAAGCTCTCATCATATTTCAAATCTTGAATTTGAGCTGTTTCCTTTTCATGAAATGCTCAATGATGTTAGGTCATAGTTCACCACTTATGACAGTTCTTTACAAGTTTTGTGAGTATAGAGAGGCTCTTAATTTTGAACTGACTTCTGCTGTTTATTGTTTCTCCTTCCCTTTTTGTTTCAACAGGAACCACAGTTAACAGCTGGCGAAGCATTTGATGTTTATAGAAAACCTTTCTCATTATAATGCTCGGCATTCTTTGTTCTGCAATTTGATTTCATTGGCGTTGCCCCTGTGTACATGAATGTATTGATTAGTATGACAGGTTAATTTATAATAAAGTAGGTGGGGTTCTATTCGGTTTTTTGTCAAGGACATGTTCGGTTGAATTTATGTCTGAATTTGAGAATGCATTTGCATTTGCTCGTACTAATTAGTAGATATTGGTATGATTCATTCTATTATATTTTGCTAATTTGTCTCAGATCACACCTTGGTTTGAATTTCACTGTATTGATTGTTATTTTTCTATGTGATGATTGGTGTAGTTGATAAACGGAAAATAAACGTTTTATCTTATCTTATTTCTGTGTGTGCGCGCGCGAGAGAGAGAGTCTAGCTCTAGTAAATCTCAACATTTCAATGTCTCTTATCTCCCTCAAGTGCGCTTATCTACATAATCCTACCTGGGCCTATGGAATATTGGTGTTTCTCTTATTTTATCTCTTGTTCACAGGCGGTATGGTCATACAAGGAAATAATAGTTTAATGGGTTGATTGTTAAGGGTATTAGGCCTTTAGTGGTTCATCCCATTTAATCAATTTAATTCAAGAGATTGGTTGGGGGGTCCGAATAGAAATTTTGTTGTTGTTGTGGGCTCAAAATCATGTCTTGTGATGGGTTGGAAGCCTCCCCTTACTTTAGAAGTTGTCTCGACTTCTCACCCCAAGAAATCTTTTAACACCTCATGGTCTATTAGAAATGGTTCCCCTTCCTTTTCCAAGAATATGGAAAACCAATCAGTTTGGTGCGAGCTTTAGACTTCAATGATTCTTCTATATCTTTTTTGGAAGTCATGTCAAAGGGGTGCTCAGGTCCGATTTGAATTTTCTCACCTTTGAATGATTCTTTTCCCCCTTCCTTAGAGACTTAGGTTTGATATCATCTCTTCGCTCTCAGAGTATGTAGATAAATTTTTAGTTTGTAAATCAGGATCTTCATTCGTGTGTTCGTCGTGTGGCCCATGTACTGATTACTGGGCGTCAGACTCAGGCTCAGACCCTATTCTAGACTAGTTAATTTGGGTGTTTCCAACTTCTTTTCAAGATTTGGGTGTGGCTATCCATCTACTGAATCTTATACATCTATTAGCTTTTGTTTACAAGATAATGTTTGTATGCTGATACTAGAGGGAAGTATGAGTTCTCAAACATTTTCTTTATCTATTTATTTAAAAGGCTCTTATATTTCTTCTCCTTCACGTTTGTTGACTATGTTGCAACTTATTCATGGGGTGTGTAAGGGTGTTGAGAGCATTGTTGCTATAAAATTTTTAATACTTTTGAGGAAGTTGAGTTGTGAGTTTTTGATGAGTTATGAGGTTGAGGTAGAAAAACTTATGGCTTTGTAAATGAGGGATAGAAAGAAGATATCATCTAGGTTTTGTAGGAAGAGAGGTAGTGCCGCACCCTAGTTTTTTACCTTAGATCCTCTAGCTTTGAATTTGCATTGCATCTTGTGGATAATTCGATCTTTTTCCCTTTCCTTGGGAAAATTAAAGACCGGTGGTGAACAATGAATTAAGATTCAAGTTAACCAACAACTTGATATCCAATTCTCACAGTGACAGAAATGACAACTTCACTAGGGATAGATGGAGGTAAATTTGAGGGCTGGTTTGGGGTCTTGATGATCATTTTTCATTGGTTTCTCATTGGCTTTTTATGGACCCTCGATACACACTCGATAAGTGGAACACCTTGCATTGTTTGATACAATTGGTGGTGCTTTGAGTTGCTTTTGGCCATGAGCTTTTGCATTTGATTCAACTTGCTTTGGGTATTTTATTTTGAATTTACTTGAGTTGTCTTCTATTTTTAGTGAATATTTCAAGATCAAGTAATTTTCACCATGTATATTCATGCTAGTTTTGACCTAATCTTTGGAATATGATCATGAGTGATCCCTTGAGCACCTCTTAAGCCTTGTTAACTCATTTTGACATGCTTGAGGTTTTGCCTTGCTTGTTAGAGGTCAATAGCATGTTTAACTTGCATCACAAGTCACTTGTGAGTCATGCTTCTCCACTTGTTTAAGTGTTGAGATTATGTTAGGACTTTGTTTCCTTCACTTCATATGAGTGTGATTGTGCTTTGCTTCTTGCTTGTTGTTTGAATTTGGATCTTTTCCTTTGAGTACTTCTGCCCCATGTGGTTTACCACTTGTCCATGTTGATTTGGTGTCATCATTTATGCTTTGAGGCTGCCATGGACATTTGTCTTTGTTTTGCATTGTTGTTTGCATTGTTTTGTCTGCATTGCTTTGTGTAAATCTTAAGGATTTTTGGTTGAGATGTGCTTGTGGTGGTGGTTGCCCCACACTTTTTCCTCCCTCTTTTCTTTGTGTATGCATATCTTCTTTGCATCTCATGTCTTTTGTTTGCATTGCATTTGACTTGTTCAACTCATTTTCTTTTCTTTCTTCATTTCATCTGTGAGTGAATTATTTGGTGTTTACTTGGCCTTTGGCCATGATCCCCCTAGGATTCTTAGTCCATCTGTTTAAGATGGGAGTAGGAGAGACATTAGGTGTTCAATCCTATGCATGATAACATTAGGATAGTTTCTTCATTTCATCTCAACTTTAGGAGCATTGTGTATGACAATATTAGGGTCCAGTTTCCCCTTAGTTAGTGTCTTTCTCTTCTCATCTCCTAAACAATTCAAAACACCTAATAAAGGATAACATGTGTTGTACGCTACGAGCCTTAAGTACTTGAGGAATGATGGTTGGGGGGCCTCCTCTCAACTGTCTAGAGTGTTTAGCGTATGCCCTTTGGGCGATATGCGACACATTCGCTCTCAAGTCATAGTCTTTAGTGCAACATGAGTTACAAACTTGACTCAATTCACTTATTTGTCTAAAAAAACACAAAAACAAAAGCATCAAACCTTTTTTTATCCTTCGAGATTAATGGAAAATCATTTTCATAAAAAGAGTGTTGTTAACTCTTGGTTCTACCGCAAATAGGTAACGCCTAAGTCTCCAATGGTCGAGCAGCAATACACCTAACTGATAGAACTAAGGTTTAACCTTACTCGGGTAAAACACTTGAACCAATATGTGGTCGTGTCATCCCGAACTACGTTTGCTCTGATTTCTCGTATCAGACGAGGATACGTAGGCACAAGACGACAATGTCTTGGCGAGCAATCCCCCCCGTAGTTTTTTGAACTACGTTGACTCTGACTTTCTCATTGCATGAGGGAATACATAGGCATAGAGCGGAGATGTTCTATCGAGTGAGTTCTTTCTCTTTCTCCCCGTTTAATAGCAGTCGTAGATAGTTTTTTTCCCACCCATAGACTTAGACAACAAGCGTGGATCCCGTTGATTACAACGGATGTGAGGGGTGCTCATACCTTCCCCTTGCGTAACCGACTCCCGAACCCAAGACTTGGTTGCGATGACCTGTCTTTTCCCTTTTCTATAGGTTTTCTCTAATCGTTTCCTTTCCCTCTCTTCGGGATAAATAACGAATGATGGTGACTCTTATGTCTTCCGTCGACCCCTTTTTCGCAGCGATGGGACAGTTGGCGACTCTACTGGGGACACTTCCCATCCCCTATGCGAGTCAATCCTAGAGCTTGTGTATTTTATCTTTAGGTGTTTATATATGCGCAGTATGTGTTGCATGTGCATTTTTATTGCTTTATTGCATTTTATTTTCAGCATTGTTATATATCATTATTGCTGTGCTCTAGGGGGGATGTTCCGTTGTGTGATAAGCTAAAACCCAAGCTTGAGAATAACCATAGCATTAGAAGTGGAAAGTAGTGATGGACTTGTATGGCAGCATGCACTAGTCCTCATGAAATTTGCGTTCAGACGAGGTTTTCTTTAAAGATACCTCATCCTGCCGGTCAGGACAGGGATGTTGGATCTGGAAACTGTCGACTCTTGAGACCGATCATTTGGGAGTCATCTAAGTGAGGCCGCTTTGTTTGACTATGATGCCAAACCAGAAATGGTGAACGCATCATCGTCTCTCGAAAGTCTGTGGCGCTAACGACCGCATAGGATGCCGGACCTTGTCAGAATAGGTCCATATTATGGAGGCAAATCGCCACACACCATACGAGTCTGCAAGACATTGTTCAACACAGGTTTCGATGATGACAAATTACAACCTTGGATGAATTGGAAATTATGAACTCCAGATCTACTAAACAAATGCAACGTATCACCTACCATATTCTTTTATACTTGTCTTAAACTGTTGTAATAAATATACTATATGTAGATAAAATGCAATCATGACCAGAGGCATGAAAAACCACAAAAAGATCAATTTTTGCAGGTTTGCAGGGCATGAGTCGACCATAGGGTCGGTGCATGCATCAGAGCATTTTTCCACTGGTCAGGGCATGAAGGCAATGAGTCGACCATAGGGTCGGCGCATGAAGGAAATATTTTTCAACGGGTCAGCGCACGCCGACTGTATGGTCGACGCATACTGATACATTTTCCAGATTTCCAAAAACGCAGGCCATGCATCGACGCACAGACCTGCTGCGGTCGACCGTTCGCGCGGAAATCCAGTTTTTAAAAGATTCCCTCTACTATTTGAAATACTGTTATATCTTTAGTTGGTTTGGTACTATATATACAAGTTTAAACACTTATGTCACATTAACATTTGACAAAATTGATTCATGTGTTCAAGAATAAGAAAGAGTGAAATAGGTGTCCAAGATTCATCATCTTCATCTTCAACATCTCACAACACATCAATTACACACAACCATTTTTGAAGTGCATTGTGAGTGATTAAAGGTGATAAGGTTCGAAGCTTAGATTGGATAATCTAGTTCGGGTTGAAGTTTGTGAAAGGTTCTTTCTTGAATAAAATCGTTAGGGTTTTACCCTCCAAGATTGGTTTGAATTTTGGGTTTTTTTTTTGGACGAGATTCTTCATCAAGGGTCAACTAAGCGGAGGTGATTGTGAAGAGGTGTTCTTCAACAA